GCGTGGAAACGGAGCTCAAGCTCCCTCTCAGCGATGTCAATGTCCACAACAGAAAAAGGGGTATTTTGATTTTAATCGTGTATATGGAGAAGTACGATGTATTATACGCAGAGCCTGTTAAAAGACTGTTTTAGCTCTCATTTTAGCGTCTACTTAACCAGAGTTGCAGAGAATGAAGTGGTTCTCAGGCACATCCTTAGATAACAAATTAAAACAAAGCTTTGTGGCTGACTAATAATGTTTCAAAAAATTGGCAATTACTAATTAAATAAATAGAATTGTGTCTTATACTAGGTGGAAAGTAACAGACAGAAAAGCCAGCAGGCTGTATTGCAACATATATATTTCATAACATTAGTACTATTTTTACATGTAAACCCCCACTGAAGTTTGAGCCAATGACCTCTTATTTGGGAGAGTCATTTTATGTCACTAGACTACAAGGCCTTTGACACTATTTTTACATTACTAAATTAACATAAAACTGTTGTAAAATATTATTTTGTGACCATTATTCTATCCCACAATCCTATTTTCTAGGATCATGCATCGATAGTTTAGGGCCTTTTAAATATGTTGTATCGGTGTATTTAGACAAGGAGTTATTGAGAATGATTTTCTTCTGCGCTCCCACTTCTCTCTCTTCTATCTTCTGAATGGTATAGTTTAATAGTATTATGATGTATATTCACGCTAGATTATACAATATTCGCATAACACAGCACGGGAGTGCTAGGTATATTCTTGGTTCGGTGAACCAATTACGATAATGTTTTTTGGCTTCAAATCCAAATCCTAAACCGCCCTAGATCCATCGAAAAACTTAAACCTTTTTAAATTTTTTATTCATGAGGACAAAATAGTCTTTTTACGTAAGCTGCTTCTTCTTCGCGTTCATGAGCTACGACTAACCGTTGCCTCTGCTCCCAAGAATGAACAACTCTAAGAATCAAAACCCCAGGTTCAGAAGCAAGGTGTAATTTTTATCCTCAGCTTTTTCTTCATGTCTACTGCGCATTTCTTGATTCATCTTCCCCAAATCGCACAGTATAAAGCTCTATAAAAGATCTAAGCTCACATAAATATTCTTCTCCCTATTCTAGCCACAACCATCCTCCTAATTCCAGTCATGACCAAAACATAATTGTAGTATTGGTTGTGGTACGGTCCTATGGATGATGATTTATTTATAGTGTTGAAGTATGTGTATATGTTCATGTAAATATTGATTCTGAATTTTAAATTTATCTCCAATCAATTAATGTTATAAACATAACATAATTATTGTAATGTTAATTCTCAATTATGGATCAACAATTATTACTCAAATTAATTTTGTGAATTACTCTCCTATCCACTAAAATCTTTTTTTTACTTATTATTCACTTTGATTTTCTTTTCATCTTTATTTAATTATTTATGATGATTATGATTAGGGAAAATTTTTCCGTAATCATTACGCTTTAATATATATAGAGATAGAGATTTTTTTCCTAATCATTTCGCTTTAATATCTACTATCTATCTGCTATACTAATAAGAGCCCAAGAGAGTTAGGCCTATAATGGGTAGAAAAAATGGCGGTCAAATTTTTTAATCAAATGAATGACTCAGATTTTAATTTTTTCCTTAAGATTTCCTAATTTATCCTTAATGAATATGATTATCCATTAACTTTTACGTTAAATATTATCTTTTCCGTTAATTTCTATTAGTTCACCGTTAACTTATTGATTTTAATAAGAAAGGTCTTAGGTTCGAACCTCATCCCAATCAAAGTTGGCATAATTAGTACTCTATTTTACTCTTATTAAATTAAAATAATAATTTAGTAGCTACAACAAAAAAATAATACATATGCATTTCTTTAATTTAGAATTATGTGTGTACAATGTCTTTATTCAAAAAAAAAATTATTCATTATCAATAAATTAAATAAGAGAAATAATTTCATTAGTTATATTGTATTTATTTTTCTCCAACATAAAAATTCTTTACATTCAAATCCATCAATTGATTATATTCGCTACATTGTCACTACAATGTCTTTATTAAAAAAAATTATTCATTATCAATAAATTAATTAAGAGAAATAATTTTATTAGTTATATTGTCTTTATATTTCTCCAATGTAAAAATTCTTTACATTCAAATTCATCAATTGATTATATACACTACATTGTCTAATATCTTTTTTGTGCACTATTTTTTAATTAAATATCAAAGCTATAATACAAAATAATGCTATATATTTATTTACCAAGTATTTTATTAATAACATGAAAAATTTTAAAAATATAATTAATAAAGCCAATCATATTAACTACTTGAGGGATTTGTAGACAAAGAGAGTATTCAAATCACACAACAAATTGAAGTGAGAACTATCTTGCAATATCCTTGTTTGACAATCAGTAGTTAGCGGATTATATTAGCGAATTTGACCAGCGAATTATATCAACGGTTGGTAAAAAGATATTTGAAAAAATTAGTTGTTTAGATTAACATGTATAATAATAATAATAATTGTTTTAAAAAAATAAATAAATAAATAATTAAGCCAATTATATTAACTACTTAGGGGATTTATTGACAAAAAGAGTATTCAAATCACACAACAAATTGAAGTGAAAACTATCTCGCAATGTCGTCCTTGTTTGGCAATCAGCAGTTAGCTCTTCAATATTAGTATATATTTAATATTTTATGCGCTAATTTTTATTTTCTCTCCCTTATGTCCCGTATTTGGTTTCAACCATACCTATACAATTATTTTATTGACAATTATAATCAATCTTGACTATATTATCTTGCATTTGTAAACTTAGAATTGCCTATTTAAATACGCAAATTTAATATTCAATTATCTATGCATGAACAATTCCAATATAATCTTGTCTTGATATACTTTAAAGTACTTATTTAAAAAAAAAAACATTGGGCATTATCCCAATCGCGCAATGCACGAAAAAAACTAGTATATATATAGAGATAGAGAAGAGAAGAGAAGAGAAGAGAAGAGAAGAGAAGGGATAGAGATAGAGATAGAGATAGAGAATAGAAGAGAAGAGAAGAGAAGAGAAGAGATAGAGATATAATATATAATAAATGCAATATTTTATAAACTAGTATTTGCGCCCGTGCATTGCACGGAATGAATTTGTTATAATATTTTAAAATTATTTAGATGGATATACAATTGTATAAATTATAAAATCGAATATTATATAATATAATTGAAGAATTGCGTTGCACCGATTATATTTTCAGATGTTACCAATGCTTGAATTCGAGTAAATAATTGCCCAATTAATAGCTAACGTGTAGATATACGCATTCAGTGCTGCAACTTTAGAGATTTTATATATCAGTGTTTAGAATTTGTATTAATTGGGCTAATTAACTCGTTGTCTAGCAACTCAGATATAAAAATTATTTATACGGAAGATATATTTTCTATGTAGATATATAGCAATTTTGTCATCTTTGTATATATATATATATATAAAAAAACATAATATCAATGGCTTGAGTTATACATGATTGAAAATCTCGTTGTAGACGACATTGATAGTGGTAACAGAATTTTATCTATCCTTGTAGAGTTAAAACCATCAGACCATCAGGATGGGTGACTCGAGAAAAGTCACATACAATTAACCATTTGACAACCATTTGATAACCAGTAGACTAAGAATTTGATAACATTTTTTAAGTACATATTAACTTTAATTTGTGATAGATAACAGTTTCATTTAGTTAATAGTAAAATAACGTGCAGAAATAATTTTAGAACATTATGCCTTATCGAATTAGTAAATTACTGATTCTTTTCTATTTTTCCTTTTTACTGCTAGCCTTGCTTATTATTATCAAGAATTAAAAATATTTATGCAAATCTATATTAATAGTCAAATTAATAATAAATTTTATTAATTATTAATTATTGATTAGCATAATATTAATTTATGATATTGTTGTAAAATAAAAAATATATTAATTATGCTCACATCAGCGTTGCATAGTCTAATTAATAGTATAGATTATTTATATAATTGCCTAATATTAATAGTCAAATTAATAATAAAATTTATTAAGTGTTAATTAGTTAATTAGGCTATGTGACATACTACGAAGAACTGGAGGAACCTAATTGTATATGTCTATATTAATTGAATAAAAAAAATGTAATATGGCAGAATATAAACTAATTAATTATGAAAATATTGTTATGGTAATATTACACAGAATTGGTTGAACCAAATCATAAATGTGTCAATTGAATAAAAATTATTTTAAATATGACAGAATATAGAGTAATTAATTATGGAAATATTATTATGATCATATTACACGGAATCGAAATTCGTTGAACCAATTCATAAATAAGTCAATTGAATAAATTATGAAAATATTATTAATTCGTACATTTTTTGAATTAGGAAATAATTAATGTGTATTCCTATAATATATATATATATATATATATATATATATATATATATATATATATATATATTAACGTTTACCTTTTTTGAATTAACCTGTATTCTTTATATGGTATTATTCAATTGCTATTAGTTATTGTAATTTTTAGCATTATCATGTTTTTCCATTTTAAAGAATTAGGAGATTTAAAATGATATTTTCAGTCAATTATTCTTCTTTATTTTCACTTAATTATAATATAGTTGCAGTGATATTTTTACCTAATTTTCGTTCCATTTGAATTTGATGATATAGAATATTATTAATGCAATATTTTCGTTCCATATTTAATTTACCTTTACTATTTTTTAAAATAGGCCTTTACTATTTGATAATGTAAAATATTATTATCGAAATATTTTCTTTCCATTTTTAATTTTCTTTTACTTCTAAACAAAAAAATAAAAAAAAAAAAAAAAAAAAAAAAAAAAAAAAAAAACAGACTTTGGACTTCTCAATACTTGCCCACATTGATGGGCAAACAATTATGTTTGTAATTTACAAAGGGAGTCCTTCAAGTCTTTCTAGAGTTGAGGATGCCACTTTGAAGGAACCTGATACTGTTCGGTACTCAAAACAAATTCGTCTCCCTGTTGATTCCTATGGCCCGCATGTGCCATCCCCTGGTAGTAGGTAAGTATTTGCACTTGCTGAGATCAATCCTTGCACATGAGCTCCCACTGAGAATATTGCCTACATTTTATATCTTCAAATTGGCCATTGCAAAACTGAGGTTACACGACAATTAACTTTTGGTTTCCGTTTATTGCAGGTCTGGACTACACGGAGATCTCTATTCGCCACCATTACCGCACCATCTATTGCAGGGCCGAGTGGCAACAAGACTTGGGGAAACTAGCCCTCCCCTACATATTAGATCAAGTACTTCTGCTGCTTATGGCAGAGCGGGGCCAACATTCTACAGCATCGAGGAAACTAGCCTCCTCTGCAGAGCAACAGAGGCCACTGAGTTCTGCAGCCTATGGGAGAGTTGTAGCAACGTTAAGAGGAGTAGAGGAAGCTAGTGCTCGTTTGCCGGTACCACCCAGTTCTTCTGCAGCTTATGGGAGAGTTGTAGCAACGTTAAGACGAAGCTAGGCCACTGAGTTCTCCAGCTTTGGCTAGCAGCACTACAGCCCTCGTCTCCAACTGGTTCTGTTCCCGTCATCGGCCATGGCACCTGGATCTCCTTCCGGCGACCTTTCCCCGACGAGCAGCAGGACGCGACCTCCCTCCTCTATTTCCGGCGAAGCACGGACAATCCGGCGGTGATGGGAAGAAAAGCATTAATAAATAAACAGGAAGAAGAAAAGCGTTAATAAATAAAATATATAAAATCACTTTTTGTCCTTAAATTTAACACTTTGTGGATGGAATTTTAACGGAGGACCAAAATGGTTAACATTTTCAAAGTCAAGGACTTAATTGGGTAAGAAAAATTGTTGAGGACCAAATTGGTAATTTCGCAATAGTCGAGGGACCATTTCGATAATAAATTCTTTTGAAAATATTTTATTTATTATAAATATTAATATTTTGGAAGATATGCGTATATTCATGAACTAAAAAAAAGATTTTTTATTATTATAAAGATAATTTTATTACCATTTAAATACTCTGTAATTACTTTCAATTCCTTAATTTCTTATTCTCCATTATTAACTTAATTACAATTATTTCCTATTTTACTTAATTCATTAATTCTATTATTAGCTTAATTTTAATTAATTTCTTAATTAGTACAATAATAAAAGGAAGGAAATGACCTAGTAATAATATTATAGTACACTCAATTTTAAAATTTATTTAATAGTACATTTTCCTTTACAATGATTTTATTAATGAAAAAAATGATCTTTTGATTATAAAGACACTTTTATTACCATTTAAATACTCTATATTAAATATTTTTGATAGTATTAATTATCATTATTATTATAATATGTACCAAAAAAATTATCAATATAATAATTATTTTAAAATTTTTTTATTTATTACAAATATTAATATTTTGAAAGATTTGCGTATATTCATTAACTAAAAAAAAAATATTTTTTTGATTATAAAGATAATTATCATTTAAGATTTTATTCAAAAGTAATCAAAGAAAGTGCACCGGTAATTGATATTATTTGAAGTAAAAAAAGAACATATAAAATCGAAGAAATTCTCTATGTTTAATTACCATAATAAATTTAGATGATAAATACAGTTGGTAATGACCATGTGTTATTTACTTATTTAGATGGTAAATAATATATGGCAACTACCTATATAAATTACCGTAATAAATGGATTATTACCATATATATGGATCAATATTATAAAAAGGGGGCTAAACCTTTTATGTAAGATATATTCAGAAAAGTATCTATTAATTAAAATATAATACGAAAATTATATTAGAAAATTTATTAGTTAAAAACGAATCTAAAAGTCAAAAGAACGCTCCCCGGTGACCGTGAACAACTTCCTTCCAATTGAATCACAGATCACCCTTCATGATCATACCCTCATACGTAAAAACAAACACCACATATCACAACTGTTAAGAAACTCATCCTCCCTAATCATAACCAACCGCGAACAAACAGTGTAATTTTGAAATTAAAAAATTTTAAAACTCAAAAATTGTGTTGTAATTGCATTTCTACCAAACAGGACAAAATTAACATAATGAATAGCCTACCTAAAACAACACATATCACACTAATCACTTGTTAAGAAATACAGCAAGGTTGATGCCCGAAGCCACAATATTATTCAGAAAAATCCAAAATAAATGGCAGATGATATAAATTTAAAATAAATGGTAGAAGAAAGCCAACATTTAAGAATATTGGTAAAGAATCACATATATTGGAAGATTATGAACAGATGAAAAAAAAATACATAAATACATCAACTACACCAACTCTTCCTATATCATCTATTATGATTGAGATGTGCATGCCAAACTTCAGCGAACCATAGGTGTATAGAGAAGACGATCACCACTAAATAATCTCTGTAGAAAACCTGAAGAAGGATGAGTAATTATATTGGACGCATTAGCACCGTAGATGATCAAATGATGTGGTCTGCTCTTTAAATAGGTGAAGATGCAACCTCCTTGCTTAATATCAACCTTTTGGAAAGAATAATATATAATAATATGTAATAATAATTGATTTCTATTTACCAAAAAAAATGAAAATTGATTGCTAATTAAAATATATATGATTAGTCAATAAATCAATATGTAATAATAATTGATTTCTATTTACCAAAAAAAAAATAATTGATTGCTAACTAAAATATATATGAGATTTAGTTTTATAAATTTAGTTTTACAAAAATGCCCTTAGTTTTGGGGGGAAATGAGATTGGAGGATTTTAGTTATATATATATATATATATATATATATATATATATATATATATATATATATATATATATATATATATATATATATATATATAGATAGATATAGATTAATGAGATAGACATATTATGTTGACTAATTTATAATTAATTAATTATGTTGATGTTGATTTGTAATTAAAATTACATGAATTTATAAATTAATGTAAATACAATAAATGATTTCACACTTTGGAGGGAAAAGATTTTTGGCCATCATTTTGCTTTAATATATATATACACACACACACACACACACACACACACACACACACACACATATATATATATATATATATAGTTTTTTTTTAGGTAAATAGTTTTATTATATGCATTTCTATCTTTTCTATTCTTCCAAAGTTTCATCTCTATAAACCAGTTGAGCTGCCCATACGAGTGCATTTTTATCTTTTCTATTATTTTTACCATTAGAATCAATTTGTATATATGCTATGTAATCCTTAATACACTGCAAGTCTATATACACAATTAATATAATTTTCTCTTTCTTCATGTATTCCTGCGTACATAGTAAGAACTAACAAAAAAAATAACTACTTTTCCAAATAGTTATCCATTAAATTGTAAGAAAATGTAATAGGAAAGTACGGAATTATTTTCTAAGGGGGGTGTATTCAATCAAGACTTTTAAAGAGTTTCAAAGACTTTTAAAGTGATGGATTTTAAATGACTTTTGTAGAGATTTTGTAAACTTTCATAGAATCTTTTAAACTTTCATCAACTTTGTAAGAGTCTTTAAAAATCCATAGGACAAACATTTATAGACTTTTAAAAACTTTTTCATATTAAAAAGTCTATAAAAGTCATTAAAACTCTAAATTGAATACACCCTTACAAACATTTCATAACTTTTATTAATACATTATTTATAATTTTCTTACAAAAATATAATTTAACAAGAAAAGATTTTCCATTAACTTTATTTTTACCTTTACTCCTTTCTTGATCCCCCATTACTATAAAATAAATATGAATCTCTCAAAAAATTCAACTTAACACAAATACATATATTAATAATTAATGAACATACAACAACATAAAATTATGTTAATTATATAAAACGAATTTGTAAAAATTTGAGTATATTAATTCTATTGGTTGCAACAAAAATTAATAGAAGATTTCTGATGGAAACAACAGCAAGATTTAAGCATATTAAAAATCTGCTGCGAACAGCAGCAGATTTAAGCAGATTAAAATCTGGGCTAGCTTCTGCTGTTCGCAGCAGTATAAGCATATTAAAATTTGCTGAAAACAGCAGCTTGCTGCTGCTGTTCGCAGCAGATTTTTGCTGCGAACAGCAAGCTTGCTGTTCACAGCATGTTCGCTATTGCGAACACCAAGCTTGCTGTTCACAGCAGCAAATTAAAACAAAATACATTAAAAAAAATTATAAAGTATAGTTTTATGAAAAGTTTGAAACGTACGTAAATTTTGGTAGAAATTGATGAAAAATTTATCTGGTTGAGATAGAGATAAAAGTCTATTGAGAAAATTGAAAAGTTTGGTGTTGGAGGGTCGGATTTCATCTATTTATATTAATGAAGAAAAAGTCCACAGAAATCCTATTCTGATAGAGTCTATGAAAGTTGATAAATATTTGAATACCAGTAAACTTTTACAGACTCTATAAAAGTCTAAAATGAATACCAGTATACTTTTAAAGACTTTTGAAAAGTCTGAATCGAATACCGGTAGACTTTTAAAGAGTCTTTAAAAGTCTAAATTGAATACCCCCAAACTTTGAAAGTCATTAAAAGTCTTTAAAACTCTTTAAAAGTCTGGATTGAATACACCCGCCTAAGAACACTTTAAAAGGCATTGGCTCATATTCAGAATAATAACTACTCTTTTCTATGCGCGATGTGCAAAAACATATGCCCAATATTTATATTTTTAAAAATAACTAACAAAGTTTTACTAATTAAAATCTAAGTGAAATAAAATTTATTTATCATATTAATCCAATATATAATAAATATATAATGTCTTACAAATATTTTTATCATTAAATAATATAAGAAAAGATATGGTGAAGGCATGTGCATGGTAAAAGTAATGGAAAAGATAATGAAAGTTATAACGGTAAGGGTATTTTATCCAAAAAAAAAATTGTATTGTATAACTCTAAAAGCACAATGTACAAAATGGTTAGTGTTGGTCCCGAAAGGGGTGGCGAGAAGTCTAGAGGGGGGGTGAATAGACTTCTCTAACTTTTTCAAACTTCTTCTAAAAAACACACAAGGCCAATAACACTTTGGTAATTTCAACTATAAATAACAAGCATCAACAAGTTAAACAACTTAGAGTGTGCAGCGGAATATGTAGCGGTAAAGTGTTATGCTTAATAGTGCGGTGCACAAAGAGAGATTCTAAACATGCAGTACGTTAGAAACACTTGATATGGTTCAAGATGATGTACGTAAAGTTTGGCTTGCATGCGAACGTGGGAACTATCAAACTCAGACAGATAAAGATATGCGATAAATCGTAATCGGGTTAGTTCGCAGTTAGAATAAGCATGCACAAAATATATGAGCAGTAAGTAAAGAGAGAGAGAGATTTATAGTGGTTCGGAGATGGTGTAATTCTCATACTCCACTCTTCTCCTTTCACTCCAAGGAGGAAATTCACTATTCTTCGATCACCCAGATACAATAGTGAATAAGTGTCCACCGACACTTCTCCG